GCTGCAATGATGGGCTCAAGTATAGCAGGGATTGTGGGGCTGGCGCGGGATCGGGCAGTGTTTCGTTCTGCTGTGCATGGGGTCGCTATGAGTCAGAAACGACTTGATGGCACTTAACAACAACAACATAGCTGTAAGTGTATTGATTGGCCCATGCCTTCTGTTTGATTCAAGAATTTGGCAATTCAGAAAATCTGGGCAATTATTATTTGGTTGGTCTAATGTGGAATAAGGCATGTTACTGAGTTATCATTCTTAAATGAGTGCTTTTGTATAGCTTCATGAACAGGAAACCAAACTTGAATGGATCATTTTTCATGAAGTATTAGTTACCACCAAAGTCTACGCGAGAATAGTGTGTCCAATTCGTTATGAATGGGTGAGAGACTTGTTACCCAAGTTGCATGAATTTAATGCACATGATCTGAGCAGTGTGGCCCGACGTGAAGCGAGGGAAGATGCAAGAAGGAGATGGACAAATAAGGAAAATGTAAAGCAGCTAAAGGGTAAGTGAATCACTAGTTCTAGTGATTTAAGTCCAGGCAGCATAACTATCTGGTTTCTTATATCATTATAGTAATACTAATAATACAGCCTAGGTTCTAGTTTTGTCTCCTCAGATAGCAAAGGGTTGTCTTTTGTGTGTGTGTGTGTGTGTGTGTGTGTGATTTGGGTGAAGGTTTACAGAGCAAATTCACTTTCCATACAGTGGTTCACATACACTTTGTCTCATGACATTGACCACAGTTTACCACAATGCAACATCTCCCCTCCCAATTCCTCCCCATAGTTACCTCTTCCTTGTGTCCATCCCTCCATGCACTCCTGCCCCCTGAGCTGTCTCTCTGTGCATTAGCAACCCTTCTTTCTCCCATGATTGTTCTCTCCAAGGAGTGTATCTACTTGAGGTAAATGTTCAACTCCTATGCCTATCTTTTGTTTGGCTGGAAACCACAGGTGTGTGTTTAATTCCAGATCTGAAGGGCAGCTAGGGGCCATAGTCTCAGTGGTTCCACCAGGCTCTATCAGACCAGCAAACCTGGTCCCTCCACAAAGGGTTGTGTTAAATCTTAGATTTATAGTCATTTGACGTCTCATTTTTCTTTCAGTTAATGATTCTTTCTTTAACCCCTCTGTCCAATGACATTATTAATAAGAACAATATCTGTTAAACTTTAACCATGTGCTAACCACTTAACTTGCATATTCTCATTGAATTTTTACAACAACCCTATGAGGTAAGTTCATATCCCTGCTTTATAGATTAAGAAATAGAGATTTGCCAGTGTATGTTAATTTGGTGAAAAATCTCATAGTTAATAAGTGGTGAATCTGAAATTTCAATCTAAAGAACCTGACTTTAGAGCCTGTACTCTTAACCAGTAGGTAATACTGCCTCCCATTATTGCCTTAATATTTCTGCTGTGTATATGAAATTTTGTGAATTATTACCTTACAATCTCCTTTTTACCCCCGGGACTTTTTCTGTGAAACATTAGTTCAGAGGCAATAAACAGTTGTACTGAACTAGGACAGAAGGTTTAATTCTCAGCTCACATATACAGAAAGCTCTGCAGTAAACCTTATTGAGGCTGAATGACCGGCAAAGTGTATTTTCCTCATTTACATTGCTGAGAAATAGTATGATAACTAATTTTGCCCAAGAAATCACGAGTCTTTAAAAATGTTAGGCACTAGCTGTTTATTGCAGTCTTATACTATTCTGGGTACCTGAATTAGGGTCAGTTTTTCTGACTCCTAGTAAGCAATTATTATTTTCTTGGTCTAATGTGGACTAAGACAAGTTATTGAGTTTTTATCATTAAATGAGTACTTCTGTATAGCTTCATGGATAGGAAACCAAAGTGAATGGATCATTTTATATGAGGTATTAGTTACCACCATAGTCTATACAAGAATTGTGTGTCCAATTTGTTAATAAATGGGTGAGAGACTTTTTCTGGTCGCATAGTGGTTAAAGCATTTGTTTGCTAAGCAAAAAGGTTGGTGATTTGAACCCACCACCTGCTCTGTGGGAGAAAGGTGTGGTAGTCCCCTTCCATAAAGATTGACAGCCTTGGAAACCCTATGGGACAGTTCTTTTCTGTCCTAAAGAGTGGCTATGAGTCAGAATCAACTCAGTGGCAGTGGATTTGGTTTTTTGATTTAGGCCTCCATCTTTTCATAGACTGTATTTCTTTTGAAAAGGCAAAATTTATTTCCCTCTTTATTTTTTTAACATTAAAAATAAGAGTATCTCTTTCTTTTAACATTTCTAGTACTGAATCAAAACTAAAGTTGCATTTTATTAATTTGTAATGTTTTCAGATGGAATATCAAAAGAAGTCCTGAAGAAAATGCAAAGAAGAAATGATGACAAGTCCATATCAGATGCACGTGCTCGTTTCCTAGAGAGAAAACAGCAGAGGACCCTAGACCACAGTGACACACTGAAAGAAACAGGCTAAGGAGTGGACTTTGCAATTCAGGAAGTAGGAAAAACAGCCAGGAAGTGTGTCAATTATTTCAGACAGAACTACCAAGAGGAAGTGGTCAGCAGCTGTTTTTAGCATACGAGCTAAAATCAAAGCTCATCAACACTAATCAGTGGAATTTTCAAAGAAAAGATTGGGTCACTATAGTCATAGGCAATGATTTTGAAACCAGTGGAAGACAAGATGTGATATTTTCCTCACCTTGATTTTGCTGGCCTTAACTGGTATTAAATACTGTCACTGAAATATTTTCAGAGGATATTGAATTGTATTTAATCAGAGTGTATACCATGTGCATTGAAGCATTAAAAATTATTTTCCTTAAATCTCTTTAAGGCCTTCTTGTTGATACCAGAATAGTGTTATATCAGGTACTTGACCATTTCCTTCAGAAGGCTGAACATAAGAGGTTTTTACTCAGCAATACTTAGATGTCTAACAGTTTAATTGCTACAGAGCTTTATAGATATTTAGAGGAAAGACTTAATTAGTAAATAAGAAAATTGCCTATGGCAGGATTCTTTTCTTGAATTAATATTAATCCTTAAATTGATTTTTCTGGGATTATAGAAATTCCTTTTTATATAAAAAGTATATTGTTTAAAACAGTAGCTATAGCCATTAACCAAAGGACAGATGATATATATATATATATATGTATGTATACACATGTGTGTGTGTGTATATATATACACACACACATATGTGTGTGTGTGTGTGTGTATATATACACACACACATGTGTGTATACATACATATATACACACATGTATATATGTTTGTGTGTGTGTGTATAAGTTCTTTTTTAGCTGTATCTACATACTTTGTGTCAGCATCATGTATGTGGGTGTGACAGTGCTTTCAAATAGCCCCTCCACCTTGGCCAACTCTCTTGCCTCCAGTTGATCAGGGAGGACCATTTAAACATCTTTTATGTTGATCTTGAGATGGGATTTTCAAAGCAGCCAATATTATATCACCACTGTTTCAAATTGGAACCTTGAGGCTAGTTAGTAGCATATTCAGGCCACATTCAGCATTTGCCCACTCTTTTTTTTTACTGCCTTGTATTCTAGTTATTTGTGTGTTTGTCTCTCTCTCTCTCTCTCTCTCTCTCTCTCTCTCTCTCCCACTAGATTATACGCTCCTCGTGGGCAGGGACTGTGTCTTTATCTTTGTATCTTTCATAGCACCTAGCATAGTACTTTGCACATAATAGTCATTCATTGTTTGTTAAATAAAACTATTAGTGTCATTAAAATTCAAAAGGCAGTATTATGTGTGTTTTTAGATATTTTTGTAAAAAGTATAACTAAATATAAGTAGTTAACTTTTCCAGTTATTTCCTGTTCAGTATTAAAAACTTGAAGCCCTTATTGAAAAATGACATGAGGACCTCAAACCCATGTTTTCAATCTGGAAGGTGAGTGGTGACAGTTTCTTTGAACCTTTCTAGCACTGTTAATTTGTTCTTCTTTATCTTCAGCACTCTGAACACTTTCAGCACATTAGTCATTTTAGTCTTAATGAGTTTCTCTCTCAGGTGTATATATCAGTGCATTTCCTTCGACTCTGTGTGGGAGGGGTATGGATTCTTGGAATGAAAACTCTTTTAATTCAGTAAACATTTATTGAGCACACGTTTGAAATCTATAATCCGTATTCTTATTTTATCAGTTGTCCTAATGATGTCCTTCATAGTCTTTTTCTCTAGTTCAGGATCCAGTCAGGCATCATGTATTGTGTTCAGTTTCTTTTAATGTGGAAAAGTTTCTCAGTCCTTTTTTGTCTTTCACAGCATTTACGTTTCTAAATAATACAAGCCAGAAATTTTATAGCATGTCCTTATTTGAGTTTCTTGAATATTTCCTAGTGGTTATGCATTTTTTACTAGAATACTGCATAACTGATGGAGTGTCCTTCCTAGGGTATCATATGGAGTTACCTAATATCTATTTTGCCCTTTATTGATGATGTTAATTTGATTATTTGGTTAGGGTGTTTTTCAGTTTCTCCAGCCTATTAACTCTTCCATTTATTAGGTAATTTGTGAGTAATATTTTGAGATTATTTGAAATGTATTGTTTTCATGAAATATGACCTTCTGGATTTAGTATTAATTGCTGATTGTTGCCTGAATCAGGATTTCTTTTTTCCCCTCCACTCCTCCCCTCCCATCCTTGGTAACCAACAAGGAACATTTCCTTCCATATATAAATCAGTTTTATTCGTACAGTTACAAAGTGGTGATTTCCCCCCCCCCAGCTCCTTTCTGTATTATATGTTGACATTATATTACAAGGAACAGCTTTCCCTGAAGGATATATTTCTGTTGCACATATGGATGTTAGAATCAGCATGAGTCAAGATAAAAGAAGTAGAAAGCCCAGGGGGCATTTAAGAGACATGGCAAATAGTATGGTTTATTTGGTGCATAGAGTATATTACCAGAGGGGAGTATATTATAGGCAGTGCACCTCATGTGTAGCCGCCACCAATCTGTCAGTGGAGGCTTGTCTATTGCTACAATGCTAAACAGGTTTCAGGAAGAAAACTGATGGCTAGGAAAAGCCCGAATTGTCTACAACCAGACATTAGCCAGTGAAAACCCTGTGGAATGCAACAGTGCACAACCAGTTGTGGGATGGTGCAGGACCAGGCAGTATTTTGTTCCACTGGGGTCATCACCATAAGCTGGGATTCCACTCAGTAGCAGTTAACAACAGCAGTAGGCTGAATATGTTGGTTGAGAAAAAGCCAAACTATGGAATTTGAACTTAACTTTGTAGAATATATGGATATATTGGAGGGGAATGAATGATAGCATTGAGGTAATTTTGACTGTGGTATCCATTAGAAGAATTGATTTCCATTGGAGGGATTGTGAGCTAGGTATTATCAAGAGAATACTAGATTTAGTTAAGGCAAGATGGGAGTGGCTTTTGAGAAAATGTGGTTATGGAGGAGTTTGTTTTTAAAGCAATGAGGAGTCACCTTCAAATTACTAAACAAAAAGAAACAAAAGACAAATGTTATAATAGAAAAGTAGACAAAGGACATAGTCATTTCATAAAAGGAAACCTGAATCTTTAATAAATAAATAAGATATTGAATCTCTTTAATAATTCGGAAAATGCAGATGAAAATAACAGATGACATTCATTCCCATCAGACTGGCATCAATTAATATGTCTGAAGTGTGTCATGGGAGAATAAATTGCTTTTAGAGACCATTTTGGCAGTATCTAGTAATGTCAGTGATGTGATACGTACACTCTATGCCCTGAAAAGCCCATTTCTAGATTTTTAAGCTCAGGAGCTCTGAGATTATGTAATATATCCTGTTCTTCATAAAATTTGGCTCCTCTAGATTGAGCATCTATTGATGACCAATACTAAATTGATGATTGATGATAAATACATAAAAATGTTAGATATAACATAAAACTATTAAATATAGCATTGTTTCTAATAGTAAAAAATTGAAAACAATATAAATAGCTTTCAATAGGGAAATGAATAAATTGTGATATGTTCTTATAGTCAAGTTCTACACAGTAGTGAAAATTATTTTTAAGCCTCTTCATGTATATTCCTAAACTGCTTTGTCGCACAAATGAAACAGTTCATTTCCTACCAATAACACTGGAAAGTACTTATCTTACTGAACCCTTATCGTTCATCATAAATACATTTCTAAAAAAAGATACCTCATTAATATGCTAATTTATGTATTTTGATGTTAGGCACTTTCTCCATATGTTCAGATTGTCCACAGGAAATAATAATGAAATTATCTGATTTGAATTTTTAAAAGACCCCAGAGAGTAAATATTTTAGGTTTTTGAACTCTCCAATCTCTGTTGAAACTGTTGTTGCGTATAGTCAAGTCAATTCTGACAAGTAGCAACCCTATAGGACAGAGTAGAACTACCCTTTAGGGTTTCCTAGGCTGAAATCCTTATAGGAACAGATCACCAAGTCTTTTTTCCCATGGAGTGTATAGGTTTCAACTGCCTAACTTTGGGTTAGCAACCAAGCCTTAACTGTTGTGTCATCCGGGCTGCTTTGTTGAAAATACTCGATCCAAAATATAGCACAGTGCTACCTTAAAGTCAACCCAGGTATGTACAGTTGGCATCATGTGATTGTAAGTATCGTAGCAAACCGCCCATAGAACATGTTATTACTGGTCTCTTAACTTTGTTTTAATAAAGAAAAACATTTTTAATTTCTACATCACTGAAAAATACTACAATTCTTTTCAAAATAATTAGACAGTTTAGGTGAATTCCAAAGGATCTTTTTAATACTCCCTTTGAAGAGGAAACATGCTAAGCTTTGAGCTGTTATTTAATATTATAGGTTAAATAAAGCAATAAAAAAAATGTATGATACCCTTAAGACCGGCTGGTGGTTCAAACCCACCAGCCACTCCTCGGAAGGAAGGTTGGGCAATCCTACTTCCGTAGTGATACTGCCTCGGAAACCCAAGGAGGGGTCGCTATGAGTCGGGGCTGACTCGACGGCACATAACAACAACAACAATAACCCTTAAGACCTAGAATAGATTGTTACTTTCCATTGTTGTTGTTGTTGTTATGTGCCATCGAGTCGGACCTGAATCATAGTGACCCCTCCTTGGGTTTCCGAGGCAGTTATCACTACAGAAGTAGATTGCCCCATCTTCATGATAGCATATCAGAATAAACTAATTTTGCATGTAATTTAAAGGATGAGGAAAAACATCAGAGCCTGGAATAGGAACCACTCAAAGTTCCATCAGAAATAAGAAGACAGGTTCGTTAATTATCCACAAAGCTAAACATCTTTTGTATCCATCTGTTTTGGCCTTCTAGTGCCACTCTAACAGAAGATACCACAAATGGGTAGTTTCAACAAACAGAAATTTATTTATTTTATTTTATTTTTTTACCTGACAGGAGATTTTATTTAAAGAGGCAAAAGGGCGC